TAATCAGTCGTAATGGACTGAGCCACCAGGCATTGCTCACATCAGGAGTGAAAATGTGTCCAGCTCTGACTTAAGAGGAAAATGACACTGCATTTCTGGCAAAAAGCAATGAGGAAACCATCATCGCTCAACATTTTCCATCTGCAATCTAGTGAAACAGGAACATGTGGATTTCAGGAGGTAAGTACTATCCCCCCAGGCTCAGGTGGCTTGGACGACCTGTGCATAACCCATGCGATGCTGCAGAGTACGATAACTGTTCAGTTTCTTAATGGCAGTGGTCACAGCGTAAAGATCATTTTCAAACAACCCATATATTTTCAAATGTGTTTAAATAGTGCTTCTGGGGTTGGGCCCGCACAGTTAGCGGCAGAGCCTCACCCTGCCACCCAAGAGAGGCTCTTGGGAGCAGCCCAGCACCTGCCAGCTTGCAGTGCCAGAGCCCCGCCCCACCTCTGACCGATGCCACCTGGCTGGGAGGCACTGAGAGCGTCACAGCCTGGTAACTGGCAGATCTGCTAGAACTGTGCCCCGTCCACTTCTTGGAGGAAAGCAAGCGGTGCATAAACACACGCACTGGAACAAAGGTCACACTGGAAAAGCAGGGACAATTCCCAATTCCAGATTCCAGGTGTTTTAAGCATGTCTCATCAAGAACATTTAGCCAGGCATTCGTTTTGGCACAGTGACCACTAAAGAAATCTGTGTGTTTGCAATAAGACCCTGATTGTGCCTCACAGAGCCAAAAAGAAAACAGTCTGAGATTTATGTAGAAATCCCATCCTTTTCTTAGAGAAATCCCTTCACGCTATTTAGCCAAAGTCTGGAAACAGCTTGAACCCCAGTGAAAGCCCTTGCTCAGCAAAGGAAGAGTGCATGTTAACCCAGTCCCTCTAAAAAATTAGAGCACCTCAGTTTGAGGGATCTATCAGAATTATGTTCAATTAACTGTTGTACATAAGATTCAATGCAGCTGTAACTACAGGCCAAAACTGTTCCCTCCCAGAGTCTAAGTTACTGCTGGACACTAACTTAATTGTGGTTCAGCGTTCGACAAGCAGAAGACAGCCAAGATCACCTCAACATCTGTGACAAGGGAAGGAAAAACATGAGAGCAAAAGAAACGGCCATTCATTTCAACCAGCATGATTCACTTCCATTGGCAATAACTTGTGTAGGACTTCAAACAGGCCAGCAGCACGAAACATTCTCAGGCTGACTGTCACCCTCAAAAACGAGCGTGAGAGCAATTTAAAAAATATATATAGTCCTACAGCCGCCCGAACTCTCCTCATACGCCCTAAACTGGCTAGGAGAAAGGTTTCTGCTATTCCAGGGGCAAGAATATCCAGGATCGTCCGTAGAAGAACACAGATCAACAACACAAAGGATTAAATAGAAAAAAAGTCAATTTCTCAATTCAAGCAAGCACTGTATCGTTGCACAGATTCCCCTACCTGTGCATTTCAGATACAACTCTCAGCAGAAACGAGAGAGGTCAAAATGTTTGGCATATTTTACCTTTGTTTAAATTAAGTTGTTCAAGTGTCCCAGTAAAGAGTAAAAGCAGCTTGCAGGCTAGACAAGACCAGTCAGGACACAGACTTACAGCTGATAGGAGAAATGGATAATTGCCCAACTGCAATGTACTGCATGCCACTGCACTAAAGCAGAACTAAATGTTTTCAAGCTTAAGGCAGGGGATTTATGCAAGATCTAATAAACCTCTATCTAAATCTGACTTTAGTTTTATTGGAGCTGTATTTCATTACAACAGCACAGTAACTGAACCTGACAACATCGGAGTTATAAAGATGGGACAGGTCTGAGCAAAGCATTTTTTTTATAGACTTCATCCATGACATTAAAATTCTAAAAATATATATATTTTTTGTACAACTGTCAGTAAAGCAGCACTGTTCCCTGCTCTTATAGCACTTGTTAGAAAACCAGTATCCGCCAGTATCTCAAATACTTACACTGGGATTAGAGCCCAGAGATTTCTCTTTTGGGAAAGTTATTACCTCGTGTAGATTTTAAACACTCTGAGAGGAAGAGATGGTGTTAAAATGAATTAAAATTGCTACCAAGACCCTAAGTTTTTACTGATCAAAACTCTTTTGGACAAAAAGCCATATATATTTCATTCTCACATTTTTAACTAAACAAAAAGAAATGGCAGAATGCTGATCCCAGTCCTAGAAAGACTTTATACTTGTTACTTCCTTTCCTGTCTGCGCTGTTCTAATTAAGATGAAGAGTATTCAATTAACCGCCTAAGATCCTCAAGTAACGACTCACAACAGTTACAGCAAACGATTCTGAACTACGCAACGCCAGGGACCTGTCGGGAACGATAATTCGGGAAGCCTTTACAACACAAACACACCAGCAAAAAAACTTGCTTTGTTGTTGGCAGCTGAAGATGAAGTCATTGCCCCACAGGACATTTTCTGCAGAACTGATACTTATACAGTAAGGGATCATTGAAATTGCAAGCTCCAGCCAAAATGTTTACAGAGCCTCTGTATGAACGCACAGGGCTTTAATTGGATGGTCATGTTCACGAGCCTAAAATAATGAGAAACCAAATTCATAGGCAAATTCATCGAGTGGGCTCCAGTTTAAGAGAGTCCTCTTTGTGGGACATTTGCCGTTTCTTTCCGAAGTGACTTACATTTCCACCCATTTAGAAAGCTGGGGAGTTTACTGGAAGAATTTCTGCGGCTTCTTCCAGGGGATTTAAACCCACAACCTTCCAGTTACAAGTCCAGAGGCCCGGCCGCTGCTCCACACCCATGTTTCGCACAAATTCACGCAACAACCTGTACTTTAACCTACAAGTGACCCCCAGAAGTAAACCTGTTGTTTTCTACAGAAGACAAATGTTTCTCTTGGATCGTTGGCTATGTGGTGGCTTGTTCAGACCATTTGTGGATTCGTCTCAGAAAGGTGGCAGGCGCATTGCAGTTTAAATTGTACACTTCTACCGACTCACTAAAGAGAAAAGCAATCGATATTTGGCTCTGTGGGAGTGGGCCACACACACAGGACTGGAAGGACAGCCAGTAGGTGCCCACAAGAGGACTTCTGCAGTAAGAGTTTAACAAGACAACCCCTTAATGTCGAAATCCCCAAACTACATGGTTGTGTAAGCACAAATTGTATAGAGGGCATTTAAACATTTGGTTAAACTAACTTAAGTCCTGTTTTGAATTAAAGAGCAAAGAATGTTTGGGGGGATGGACACAAAGCAATGCAAATTATAAATTATATATCCTGTTATTTCTCCTCTCTATGGCGTTGCCCAGACTAACTACATCATTATAGACCACCATTAGTACCTCCCGATAAATTGTCATTCAGGCCAAGGGGTTTCGTAATTTTCCAGTACAAAACACCCCTGCAGCTTGTTCAAGAACTAATCCAGTAATTATATTGCTCTTAAGTCTTCACATTATCAGGCTTTAATTCTCTTTCCATCTCCATTTAAAAACTGATGCTTTTTTTTTATAGAAGTACTTCGACTTTTTTTATTCTTCAGTGTAGCTGTCGTTCACAAAATTAAGACTGCACTGTGTCAAGCCGATTAATGAAGAAGTAACAAAAAGACTAACAACTTACCATGATAGGCTGGACTTCTTCGCTGACGTACATACTTGAGCGAGAAATGCAAATACCTAGACAAACATTTACAGATGCGTGCACTTCTGTTATGTGTGAAGTTCCTGTTCGGTATTTCAGTATCAAGAGTCGGAAGACCGCAAAAAAAAAAAAGGTTGCGTGCATTTTTAGGAATTAAAAGTCATCAATGGCTTTACAGGCGTGGAAACACGGAAATCCCATAAGATTACCGAAAAGTAACATTTATATTCACACGAAACGTTCGCGGTGCGTCTTATCTACAGCACATGCTCAGCTCTAGGGTTTAGAGATTTTTTTTCCCCTTCTACAGAAAACAGTTTTTGAGCATCTCACCAAGCCTGAATGGGACCGATGGTGTGACCCCGTACTAAAATTCCACCCCCCAAAATAAATAAATAAAAGAAACGGTGAGAGAGAGAGGAAAAAAAAAATCAAAGCATCTGTGAATCCCTTTCACTTATTTAAAAGGGTGTCTGTAGAGCATCGCGCAGGGTGTGGCCTTGTGGAATGTGTCGGGCAGTCTTCTGCCCAGATTGGTTTTAAAAAGGTTAAAAAGATTTCACGCACGTTCACAAACAGGATGACTCCCCCCATAACCCACGCACACACCCCACCTTGCACGATACTTCTTCAAAAGAACAAAAAAAATCGTTCGGGGGTGGGAAAAAAAAACGAACAGTCCTGCCCCTACCCTCCAATGCGGTTGTTATTTTTTGTTGTTGTTGCAGGTTATTTTTAAGAGCTCTCTCGAGTTTAACGGAGGGGTACTGAACACGACTTCTCCGTAGGCCGCATAAATAACATTTTCTAACTTGCCTTCCTGAACCGTGCAATGAGTGTCAATGACTGCAGTCAACATTTCTAGATCAAATGTCGTTCCAGAACTTTCTGGATTAGACTCATTAAGCCGCCTCGTAGCTACATGAAAGACATAACGGTTAGACGTCCAGATCGGTTGTTTTTGTGTGTGTGTGTGGCCATACTGCTCTTTCAAATCCTTCGTGACTTTTGCCATACTTCAGCCTGCGTGAAGTCCGACAAGAACAGGGTGTTTCCCGGTCGGACTTTCAGACCTCAAAGTGAAGCAAAATTCAACCATGAAGTCGATCCCTGCGTAGGAGCGACAGGACAGCCCTCAGAGATAAAACAGCCCCGCAAGACCTTGACACGGAAAAAAAAAATGTTTCCTTTTCACAACTAGCGACTTCTTTAAATACCCTCCCATACGCTACCCTCCCTGCCAAGTTAACTATTTCAACATTTTTTTTCCCCCTGTGCGAGAAAAGGGGAGTGTAATCTTGCCAAATCACATTTGAATAGATTTCCTTTTCTTAACTTTTTTTTTTGTTACTTACTTTTCCATTGAAGTCCAAATAAATCTTTGTCGTTCCGCAACCCAGAGTTGGCGTTTCTCTCTCCCCCTCTTTTTATTAAAGGCTTGGAGATCGGCTCCATCATCCAGACATCCTGTATCGTGAGTCACGGACATTTCTCCAGGAGAGAAAGAGGGTCTTTCTAAAACATTACCCCACACGAAACGACCAACACGAAATATAGGTACCCATTATATTTTAAAATTCCATTACTTACATAAATCGAACTTTTTTTTATTTCTTAAATCGGTAAGACCTCCCTTACACCTTATATCGAAATGATCTCGTACAACTCAATGTGAACAAGCCTGACCACTTGGAAGAAGAAAAAAAAAAAGCCCTGCTTTTAGGCGAAAATTCACTAGCAAACTAACTTTGCAACACCACTCAGTGTTGTGTAATCAAATCTTTGACGAAGGCTTCTGCTTCTATAGATCGCTATCATCACTTATAACATCAAACCGGACATTTTCTCTCAAAAAAAGCCTTTGTTCCAGATTTGGTAAAAAAAAGGCTGATTCACTAGTGAACAGCGGAACACGATCAATCAAAGCCCGTGTTGTCTAATGGCAGCCCCACCTCAACCCTCAGTCAACTCGGACAGTTCAGACGTAACAACCTCGACTACAGACTCTTTCGCCAAGAAAGAAAACTTTTATGGATATATATACTGTCGGTTTTTTTCTCTTTCGTTTCCGCCCTAATTGTAATCCCACTATTTCGATTCAGAGAGACCCAGCTCCAATCCCACTTTTCATTCTTTAAGTCCTACTCAGATCGCCACCTCCCGTGTCTACAGCCCAACTCCCTTCAAACCGGCTTCTCAGTCCGATCAGCTGGCAGCACAATGACGCGATCAGCAACAGCTGGCCAATCAAACTCTAACGTCAAAGCACAGCTATGACGCCCGCCTCCCGAAACACAGTGAGTGACAGGCGGAGGAACCAATGGTCGTTTTCGGCTAGTCTCGAGCCACTAATGATAGAACGGAGCTGCACCCCGTGGGCCAATTAAAATAAACTTTCGGCAAATGACGCTTTATACTTAACCAATCAGAAGGCAAAGAAAAGAGGGAGCCCCTCCTCTTTAACAGACGATTGCCTCCGTAAATGATGGCGTTGTCCAATCAAAAGTACTCGTGCGTATCTACGTACTTGCACGAGGGAGTGGGTTGTGTAGTTTTGTGTAATCAACCTTTTTACGCAAAACCCGCTCTTGGACTACAATTCCCTGCAATCAGCCCACTTTTCATGTGAGTTGGCAATTTTTTGAAAAGGAAGTGAAACTTGAAAACGAAGGACAGTTAACAAAAACGCGAATAGAATTCCGTTTCATTTTAAATTCGTTGACCTGGAAATGTGCAAAATAAAACTTAGCTGAGTGGGTCTTTATATAAATATGTTAGGCTACGTGAAGTCATTACATACACGCATTGTTAGCGACGGAAACTCCCAGTACCGCGTTTTGAAAAGAGACGATTGGCATCAGTTATTTTTAAACCGTACAGCGTGACATTTAAAAATGCTTTTAAACGAAACGAAAAAATAAAAACAGTTTCAAGAAAAGGAAAAAAAAATCTGATCAGTTTATCACTGTTATCATACAAATATTTGTATCCTTCATAGAAACGTTGGCAAACCCTTTCCGTGTTGTAGAGCAGGGTCCATCGTTGCTCAACACTGTTTAAAACGATTCCATATTACATAAATAACATAATGCATTGCCACCAATATGAAGAAAGGTGGTGATTTGCATTATGAACTGTATGAAACAGCGATGTAAACTTGCTTATAAAGTGCCTGATTATAGATCATCATAATTCAGGAGCCTTCAGGAGAGTATAGACCATTTACCACACAAGAATGCGTTTCAAGCAGAAGAGGGTTAGCCTTTTTTGCTCATTACTCTTATCATCACAGATATCTCAAGTAACCTTCATGGTGTAATCCGAATCATGACACCTGCATTTACAGTATAGTTGGAAAACCCACACAACAGGGTTGAGAAAGCAAATGAACTCTCCTCTCCTCTATAAGAAGTAATTCAAGTAGGAGCCGCTGCCTGATGGCAACTTCAGCTATGGTACTGGACCATCGAGGCGACCCTCAAATTCCATAGTATGAGACACACTGGGATGTCTGGTAGCATCTTCATCACTAGCAAATGAAGGTTAACAACCTGTTAATTAACCTGAGTGACTGTCATTTATACATGTCAAATAGATCTTTTTATGATTTATAATTCTATTATAATAAACCCAACAAAAACCAAAACAAAGGATGACAATTGTATAATTGAAATAAACACCACATAATTCACATGCATTTCCCGTATCATGGGACTTAGAATCAGTTTTCCTCGGAGCACAGATTATGCATTAACAGAGAAACAGCCAGGAAAGGAGGAGTGTGTTCTTACTTCTGTGGGATGACTTAGAAGCCACTCGCTAAAAAATAACACATGAGTCACAGAAAGCTGGCTTTCATTCCAGCCCAATTACTTACTTAATTGAAGCCTTAATTGACCTAACAAGTTGCTTGATTGCAATATTTGCTAGATGCTTTCTCCTCGGAAGGTTTAGATGGTATTTTTCTCATGAAAGGCAATAGTTAAAAGGCGGCCTCCAACAGGTTTAAAAGTTTAAAATAGCCAGACAGTTCCAATGAATCAAATTATTAAGCCGATGAAGGGTTCAGTAACTGAGAGGTGGGCTGGGAAAGCCGGCAACTGTGTGCTCCTCCGGGCCCAGGCCAGGGAACCCCTGAAGTATGGACTGCAGTGTGTAAGAAATCCCTCATTCACAATGAACTTTGTTTTTTCTAGTTTCTCTAGTCAGGTACTAGAGCTGTGTATCCCGTAAACAGAAACAAAGGAAGGTAAAAACAACAACAACAACGGACGTTTGGGAGGGATGAAGGCAGCCAAACTAATTAAGATCACCTGCCGCAACTCCCAACTAATCCTGACATAACTGCCTCAGTTTCCCAGATACAGCATACCACACGTCACCCCCTCCTCTTCCTCACTTGTTTTTACATCCCCATCTTCAGCTGAGCAGCTACCCCTTGTTCGTCTTTTCACCAAGCCTGGGGTTCTGGTCTCCCCCTTCCCTCAGCCAAGTGGGCTAAACAAAAGTTTCCACAAAATTCAATAATTGATTCTGCCGGCACGCTGTCTTCGGCTGTAAATCCCTCGTGAACCGCTCGGTAAAAAGCGGTACTTTGAGTGTGCGCAACGGCAGAATGATCTAGCCAAAAACAGCAACGCACAGAAGCCACGTTGTCTTCCATTTCATATATAAACAATGCCGGTTCGGTGGAAAGATTTTGCTCAGAAACGTCTCGAGCCATGCAGAAGCCTTCCATTGTTGATGACTGATTTGAATTTCAGGAGGTGTGCCACATAACCAGGCTCCTGTAATAGTGTTCAGCGTTGTTCCCATGGCTTGTGTCACAACTCTGCACCCATCAGGTTCCACCAGATTTTGCGATTAGCTGCGAGATGTCCCCATGGTGAGCACTCAGCATTACTGTGCAAATTATAAAGTGTACCTGCAGAAGAAACTTGAACCCCCTTCCAAAAACAATCCCTCTACAGCATGTGCTGTAGAGAGATAGGTAACAGTGTGCTGCATAAGTTTCCCAGAATATGCTGCTGTTTATTTCTGCCTTTTTTTTCCTGCCACTGCAGTGCATTTAAACCTTGAATTTGTCACAATTACAACATACTTCTATTTTCAGAGTTTTGCTAAGATGCAACAACATGTCTCTAAGGGCCACTATACAAAAGACATCAGATTTAGCTGTGGACAGTCTTTGTGGATGAGCCCCTTGAGAACACTTGAAGAAACGTACACATGCAAAGGTAATGATTTGTTGTGTGTTTTGAAAAGAAAATGGACGCCTCATATATGCTCATTAATATTTTATGTGCAGCTTTCCATTGGGCCCTGTTAACATTTTTCATGCCTTTTTTTCCCCATGCTGAGCTTCTTTTAAAATCCTAAAGCTTTCTCCTGCATTCCACTGGAAAACACCTGTCTGCACTGATATCAACATTTCTAGACCCCGATTATAACCAGCATGGAATTTACTTTGTTTTCATGAGATCAAATGGCTTAGGAACCATATGAAAACATGAAAAGATAGAAAATTGTGTTCTCAGATGACTATGAATATTGTTTTTATGGAAAAACTGTTTACCAAAAAGAGTGTTCTATGCAATTAGTTTGCAATGTTTGTTTCATAAATACAGATCCTATATACACAGTTGTTCTAAATTCCAAATTGAAAGTTTTTAAGATATGTAGATGTTGTCTGACATCTGTTTCAAGTATCCAGCTAGGATCTTGAGACAGAATGGATCTGATGTGTGGTCTTCAATGACAGGTTCCCCAGACTCCTAGCTTTATTCTTCCTCAGTTTCTGCTCATATACATTTAGGTTGAAATAAGACAGCAGTTTAGGATAACGGAAAAACATAAATAAGTTACTGCACAAAAGAAACACAAAAACATCTAAATGAACTTTTCTGGGGGTGGTGGTATATGTACGTCCTGTGAAAAAAATGATTTGACTAAAAAATCACCCCTGAAGGAGACAGCTTGTTGTGTATTTGTGATCATTCCTAAAGGTTTCCAGTGAAGAATATATTTTGGAATGACTGCAAGACAAAGCCTAAACATTTACATAGGAACCCAATCTGGGCAGATACTCTTATCCTTTTTCTGGTGCTTTTCTTGAAGTTCAGGGAATCTTCGCTTAGCAAAGAGGATGCTGTTAGAGTAAAGAATAATAAAATATCACTGTAAAATTATTTTTCAGTTTGTTATTGTAAACAGAAGTATCAAAGAAAACCCAAATTAAGTAAATAAAGAAGTTTATAAAGATATTAAGCAAAATAGTGATTTATTTTTAAAATAGGAGAGTCAGATAATGTTATATCCGCTGTGGAGGAACTACACTGTCGGTTTTCAATGGAAGACAGAGATTTCTTTTAGGGAACCATACAGTGATGGGGGAGAGGGTTACACAACCAGTTCTTTTGTAATAATTGAATCCACAGTCAATTCTTAACTTAACTAACATGCATACAATACAGAAGTTGGAGTGATAAAATATTGCGTCAGTGTTTGTGCAAGGTCCCTGTGATTTTAGCTAAAAAGCAACAGATGCAACAAAAGTGTCGTAATTATTAAGATGCACTGTCTAGGTGCTTACTGTTTCTCTGTTTTAAGAGGCATTCGAGTAATGATAATAAGGACTATGGTGTGGCAACTAAATGCCAATAAAAGTCCAAGAAAAATGGAATAACTGTCATACCACAATTTATTCTCTGATATCTACTGCAAAGTCCTACCATTTTCTGTTTTGCCTTACATCAATTCCAATCTTTCTTTGGCAACAGTTCAAGCATTTTTATTTTATTCTTAAGAGCACAATAACTGGATTTAATATTTGCACATTCTTATAGAATGAATAGTCATAGCAGATCAGATGAATTTTCAAAGTCATGGAGGACACAGAAATGATCTTTTCTCAAAATTCTGGTTTCATCAGCTTAAATCAGTGTCTCTCTTAACGCTAACAAATGCTGGCTGTCTGATGCATAATTGAGCATCACCACCAGCCTGCTGCCAAACCAAATGTGAAGGAAGAACACAAAAAGAGCGTTTTTCTGACTCATTCCTTTTTAATGAAGAGGGAGAAGAACCAGGAGGCCTTAGAGGGAGAGAAATCTAGCATTTTGCAATATTTGACTATTAAATTGTAGTACAACTGCCTAAAGTGCCATCTGCAGATTTCTTAAGAGAGACAAGAGCAATGCCTTCCTATAGGAAAATATTCTATACCCCCATATATAAAAACATTAAACAGTGAGGAAACCAAAGCTATTTCTGCACAAAGAGGTTTCTATTTTGCTGCTGTTTTTATCTTTTGCATTGCAAAGTGACTAAGGAATGTTTTTCCAGGCTGATAGCTCGAGGAATAATTCCTTACTTTAGCAGTAGACCCAGCGGCTCTATTGGAATGGAACTTTCTTGGATTTACTGTATTCTTAAGGAACATTTCTGCCTGATTACTACATGTAAGGCTCGGTATCTAATTGGACTGCAACCTGCATTCCGAAACCTTATTGTTGCAGTGTTGTGATTTACAGTCCATTAGCAAACTCATTAAATCTGCTAATTATACTTTCCCAGCATCATCTTACAGCTAAGAGACTTTGAGGAGTCAATATCCCATATAAGCAATGTTGTCTCCTCCTTTAATTAAAAATGGCTGTATTGTCAGTGATGGTATGTATTCGTAGAAGTGCAGGGCTGTAATTGAAGACAGAGGGAAGTCACATTAATGACTTCGGTTCTGGAGGCCTGGACTGAAGATTGGCTCTGGATAAAAACTGAATCACATTTGCTGATGCTGTCCTTTCTACACAGTACAGAATCAGTCCTACTGTTGGTCTTAGCTCCAGAGTTCAGTTTTAAGGGGAAAGATCATGGAAAGACGAAAAGGATCTGTCTTATCATCTGCAGCATGAAAAGGAAAAAGGCTAAAGAGAATAGTGGAATAGTTGTTTTAACGATATATTGCAGATTTCTTTGTCCAGTGTTATCTACCCAGCACTTTTCAAAAGTACTGTACTTGAAACTAAAATAGCAAACAGGCTTCTCTCTGGAGCTCAATGCAAATATATTCAGGTTAGCAGACAGAGGCACTGGTCTCTCAGCAGAAACATTAGTCCAAGAACCTAAGTGGTTTTTATGAATCAAGAATTGCTCTGCAAGGGAAGTTACTGCCTGGATGGAAGTTCAGCAGAGGTAATGACATTCCAGCTGGGCTAAATTTCCTCTGAAATATCCGATTCAGATTGAAAAAGACTTTGCATCCTTCCGAGCAAGAGCTGGACTCCCTGGGTAAAAGATCTAACCCTTTAAAAAAAATCACTTCTTTAAAAAGCACAATGCGCAAGTCTTGCAAAAAAAAAAACTTTGCACGCAACGGGAACAGGAAAAGAATAAGTTTTGCCACATTTAAGAGCTCTGTAAAATCATGCTTAGAATACAAAATTACAGCTTTCAACATTGGACATTTAAATAATATTTATGTAATTTAGGTTTGCTTAATGACACCTCCATGGACATCAAGTGCTTGCTCAACACTATATTAATTCAGTGACTGTCTTGCAGTTTTAAAAACACAGAATTCAAAAGGGGAATCAATCTAGAAAAGGCACAGGGCAAGCTGGCAGTCTTAATCAAAATCTATATCTACAGTAGATAGTGCTTTGTTGTGAATTAAAAAATGGAAAAGTACTTTTGTAAACTAAGCTTCTTAAATAAAGCAAGATTGTTAAAAGTCCCAGCAGGTGGGCTGGTAATTAACATTCAATATACTGTAATTACAGAAGGAGAGGCCTGTGTCTCGGAGCATGTCTTCTGATAATTGAACATTTACATGCAACATGTCTGTTCTTATCATGCTCAGAACACAGACTCCTGAAATTCAACATCAGCTTTTAACATGCACATATACTCTTTGTATAAAGCACATATGCTTTCTTGTTGGTAGTATATTTGATTGCATTATGTTCTAACTTTTCAAGTAGGTGGCAGATTCATTTGGCGAGTAGATTATCCCCATAGCAACAGGCAGAAGGACGAAAAAAAAATAAGGACGCTGGGACAAACAGTTCCTCAGAACAGTTTAACAATTTATTCTTTCATCTGATCACTCTTCTTTCCTTCCTTTTTTCAGTTTCAGTTCAGGATATGACTGACATACCCATCAAGTCCAGAGGGACCATTTACTCGAGTTGTGTATTCCCGGACAGGATAGAGTGGCTGTGGCTTTAAGAGAAGAATCATTGCCAGTAAGGAGCTGATGTGTTGCGCTGGCAGCCAATCACAAGTGCAGCTGCGAGTATTATCCTGCCAATGAGAGCTCACGCTGGGCGGAGGTTACAAAACCAGACTGAACCCAATGACTCAGCAAAGCCAAATCCATGCCAGATGACACTACAGTGAAATTTAAAGGGCTAGGACCTCAGGATAGCAGAGCAGTGAATATTAAAAAGACAAGCCCATCTGTTTTCCTCCCTCGGCCTTGCTCAAATCATGAGCCCGCAAGGCGCACCAGATGCAGATCATTTTGAGTGATACAGTTTTATCTTCAGAGCAATCCGTTACCTTTGACCACTAAGAAAGCACCATGACTAAGCATTCCTGGCACTGACACCATCCTTAGAGGTATAAGATATCCTTAGCTGAGAGAAAAGACCAGTGCCCACACTGTCTATTAGCATCTCCACACTCCCAAGCAATTAGAATCGTCTCGACTTGCTAAACCAATTGAGCTCAGTTATATCACCACTCTAAATAAATATGTAGGTATGTGTCCATCAGGCTCCTACAATTCAGTTCAATTTAATTATATGAACTACAGCTGTTTTCATGCACAATGAGAAACACAGAAAATGATTATTACCTTAAAAACAAAACATGCAATGTTTCCATATCAATTCACACTATCCACAAATGGTATTGAACAATTAAATTAAGCAATGTGAAAACCGACTAATATCATCACTATGGAATACATATATACTCAATAAAATGCATATTATTAATAATCATAATTAATGGAATGAGATCTGTTTTTGTTCACAGACATGAGAACAAGGCTCACGAGACATTTCGAGCACATTTCGTGATGGCAGAGCTGTGCCCACCTAACGTGACTGTCTGGTGAAAATCAGGCATGACAGGCGTGTCCACGGTGTTTGGCATGTAAGCTAAACCTGGACAACCACATGTAGTCCAACATAGCTCTGGATTAGACGAGACTGCAGCCAAAACACATTCAGCTTCATGCTCCTAACCCAGCTGCATTGATCAGTATCCTTAGAAAACAATCCTGGTCTCTAACAGAAAAGTCATTTTAACCTTCTGCAAAGTGGATGGGACATTTCCAATATGCAAAACAAGACTGCTTAAGGATGAGGGGGGGAGGCAGAGCCTTCACATGGGTCACAGATGAAGAAAAGAATCCCTTTGTTTAGACAACAGAACTAAAAAGATCATATTTCATCTACTGTATGGCAGCTAAATGTGGGCACACAAACCAAATATCAGCACACAAATCTGAAGACACACCCTGCACTGTGTAATGTTAGAGGCCGACGTACCTATTATCTTACAGTATTGTCTGTTACTCATTTATAATACCAATAATCACATGGCTGAACTCTCCTGGGAGAACATTAGAGATAACTATATAGGAAGAACAAAACATATGTTGCTGTGGCATTTCAGGCATCCCTGAGTCATCGCATAGCTTTCTGATGTGGCAAATATTGTGTTCTTTCTGGAATCCACTCACACTATTACAGAAAATACTTACTGCACTTGGGGTTTGAGAATCAGAGATAGCTGCTGAAGGTGAAGTCAGGGTGGAGCTCAGAACATAAGCAAGGCATTGTCACCACCACCGTTCACTGCGGTAGAAGTCTTTCAAAACTCTGCAAAAATACCCTCCCCCCCCCCCAACAGAAAATGGAGAGGTTGTGGAAACTTCCAGTAACACAAACACGGGCCTGACAACTGTTGTGGGATCACACAGGGGACCTTGGTCATCAGAGGACCACCCCTCGGCGATATGTCAAGCTCACGAGAGACGGCACTCGAGAATGGTTCTTGTTCGGGTGGAGTGGGACTTGACTTCACCCGCTTTGGCGGATGTCCAGCCCCCCTGCCCAGAGGACGAGGAGGTCGGGACAGCCCTGCAAAGCGAGGAGTGACCAAGGTGGAGACGGGGACGAAAAGGGATACGAAAGACGACCGCGAAACTTGTGTTATTTATAGTTTCCCTGAAAAGACGTCAGGAATGATTAGGAGTTAGGACAGTGGAGGTCAAAGTGACTCTGTTGTTGGCAGACCCCTCCCATCATTTAGAACTCCACGTATCACCTTATTTTCCAAAGTCTTCGAAGAGCGAGGCTAGCCACTTTTGTTTAGATAGAAGAAAGGCCTCTGTTCAGAGGAGTTTAAATATGGACATGAAACAGAGGACAAGGTTCCTTGCTCCTGCTACTTGCAACGAGGTGTATCATGAAAAATCAACAGAATCAGCAATAACCAGCCCCTAATCTTTGCAGGTTTCGTTCTGTGAGTATTCTTTTCAGCTTGAAATTTGATTAGCTCTTTTGAGGGCATTTAAGGTCACTGAAGGCGATATTCTCACCACTGGACAATTTAATTTTGAACACCTACTTGCTGTCGAAGGATCTCAGGACAGAATCCATATGGATAGATGGATGATTGTATCTCAAAATGAAATACGGCAGCAACTGTAATCTATGGGGAGAACAACAGAATGTTCCAGATTACAAAGGTTTTCTGGAGGTCATGAGATGAAGTGGTTCAGTTTCATGTGGCAGTTTGAAGTCCTGATTAGGGCTTCTGATTGCACACCACTTGGTCATGGGCTCAAACCTCAGTCAGACATTGTAACCTTGAGCAACATATTTTACTCTGATTATTCCAGCAAATTGTATTAGATAGACAAGAACTCTTCAGTTTATGAGAGGCAAAAAATAATTTCTGCTCCTATGGATAAGAAATAAGAACGCCCTCTCTGTGCTGAACTATACACACAGAAAGCTGGATACTAAAATATCCAATATCCAAATACCTTTCGCCGACTGGAGAAAAAACAGGCAAAAATACATTTGAAACTAGTTTTCGGATTTCCTGGCCTATAATGGGTGTTCGCTTTTGAGAGGGTCACCAAATCCTGAGTTCTTGCCTCTAGCATGAAAATGACAGTAATATTACCATTGCAAGTTCAAACAAGCAAAACGTTCGTGAATTCCAGGCGTCACCGCATGCCTTAACAATACCGAGCAGGGATCTGAATGCGGCACGTAGCTTTTCAGAATGCTTTTCATTGTACGCCCTCGGTAACTTTAAGAAATTACAACATCATCAAAGCCGCATTTCCGCCTACAATTACTCACGTCAGCTGATCGCCCGAACTGACTGACCTCCTGGGCCAAAACAGCTGTTTCCCTAACCAAGCCATGTGACCCCCCCTCCTCCTCCAGAACTCCACCCTTCGCACACACGCGGTGGAAATGATGTAACAGAGAGCCAAAGCACGTCTCGCTAAATAAGGAGAACGGGAAAGCGGACCTGCTTTTAAAGAGACAGATCTAGCGCTCACAGTGCCCTAAAACCTGCATGGACGGCGTCACTGAGCTCACTTTTTAGCAGCGTAGTCGATTTATTTTAAATGCACTGCTGTGCTGAGCCCCTACCTCGGTCTAACACTAGCGGTGCGTTAGTTCAGATATTATATACTTCATCACATTTAGCATTTGCGCTAAAACGAATCATTTGCCGTTTCCAGTGTATAAATATTAAGAAAGTATCATCATATTCCGAATTTAAGTGTCCTTTTTCATCTTTGCCAGCTGAGGTGAAACGCTTTTGGTAGCGCAGTGCACGGTCAACGCCCTCCGAGCCCACGGCTCATCTCTTCTTAACATACACCTCCATAAAATTCCCTCCAGCCCACAGGTTTCGATTTAATGAAGTTTAAGAATAAATGTTTCCCAGCCTTTTGCTAGAGAAAAAAAAACAACTTTCTGGAGTCCAGTTGGTAGATGTTATGAATAATTGGGATATAAGGTATGCAGTTCTTATATTGGTGTTAAAATGCTAATCTGACATAGAGCCCCATGGTCAGCCAGATGAAAAACTTGAACTGACCCTGCAAAGCAGGGGCTCAAAACAAAACCTCAAAACTTCCAAGTTCCCCATTTAATACATCTTACTTTAATGACTACTGCATGGTGTGTGTGTGTGTGGTTGGCATGCATACAGAAAAAAAATGCAAACACGATTCCTGTTCTTTGTTATTTCCAGTTCATTTTTCCTGAAAAACAGGAACAACATCAGAACTGTAGATTCCCTTTAAATCGCTGCTGCCTTACACAAGAGAAATTTTCCACATTGCCACTTTTGCCCTACTTCAGATGCCACTGTTCCAGATCACCCTGGACTCTGGCCCCTGTGCCTGTTAGCGGACTTGCTCCGGCAGGTTTGGGGTGTTGCGAGGACCGGGAAGAGGGAGTTGTTTGAAAGGCATTTATCTCCTTTTCCATACAAAAGGCCAAGGCCTAATTGCTAGATATGATTAGAGTCATTTGTGTAATGGAACACTTTCTCCTAGTACACGCAGAAGTGCACCATGGTCCTTACCCATGGCACGCCTGGGTAAGGAAATTAAAACGCATGCAGGTTCCCAGGGATTCTTGGTTGGTTTTTACTCCTACAGGCTGGAGTAAATATCAGTGATCTCTAGCAGATTCCCAGTGTTGGCCACGGGCTGCCCATCGCTGCATGGAACTTTTACCAGTGACAAGAGTCCCATCGTGTCCAAGAGCTGACAGGGCTTCTCGGGAATCACGTCCTGTACCTCCCGAAAGAAGTACAAGCAGTGGAGGAGCGCGAGACTGGACCGCTCCGGTCTCAGCACTGCCAGGCCGGTTCCCTCCTTACAGGAACAAGGCTTCACGGGCTCGTGGGGACAGGCCTTACATTTCTATGGTATTTGCATACCTTGAAAGTGATAGACTAGTAAAGCTGCTCAAGCAGGGTCTGGTGACTAGCCTAATACATTTTTCCACAGATATTTCATGGCTTTTCTACATCCTTTAACTCCTAGCCTCCCAGAGAGAAAAATCCAGTTGTATGTGCCAGTCAAGGAAAATGAAAAGTCTTGCTGGTTGGTGGGTATATTTTTTTCTGCAATAGATACTGTAGTTCACTGATACTTATTAGAATATACTTCATCTCACAGCACTCTACACTTTCTGAGATTTACTTATCCATGCTAGAGCAAGCGTCCTGTATGTTGCGACAAACTTGTGTTGAGGCCACAGGCCAGCTATATAAATTACATTTCCTCCTTGGCATTCCCTTTAAGTCCCCTTCTATTTAAGTGTGTTGCACAAATCATCTTACCACATTGCATTTCCCTTAGTTAGGAGAAAAGGCATCCAGAGATATTGGCATCTCTGGGGCTCCTTTAAGGCCTAGATCCTGAGTCACAGTGACTCTCTACAGCATTAATTAGCGAGCAGCTGTCTCACAGAAGTTTATTCATGTTCCCCAAATCAATAACATGTTACACAACGTCCTCACTGGCTTGAGGTGTGATTGCAGGCTCTGGGACATGTGACTGAGCTTCTGGTTTTTGTTGACCCACATTCCCCTTCTCAGCAGGCTGTGCTCACTGGGTCATGGTGGCCTGCTCTAACTGCGGTAGAGCTGCATGTGACTGCTTCTTGTTTTCAGGCTCGCAAGGCAGTACAGCAGGAATGGTGGGCCGGACTGCAGCCTGAAACGGGTGTGCAGATGGAGGGGAATGTCTCAGGCAAAGGAAATAAGCAAAACAGTTTCAGCCTGTTCAGCCTTACGAGATGCAGGCTCTTCTGCGCAAGCCAGCAGCAGGTGTCAGACATTCTATGCTTATTATCTTAATACCAGTCCAAAATAACATGTCCAAAAATATTTCTTCTTAAACGATAGCCTCTGTGGGGTGACACACAGGTGCACTGGTTAGCATTGGGCCCTGGGTACAGTCCCGGACTTGGGGTGCTATCTGCGTGGATTTAGCATTTTCTCCCCCGGTTTGCATGGTTTTCCTCTGGGTGCTCCGGTTTCCTCTCACAGTCCAAAGACATGCTGCTGGGAAAATTGTCCCTTTTTTGCAAGTGTGTCTGTGCCTGTCTGCCCTGTGATGGTCTGGCATCCTGTCCAGGGTGTACTCTACCCACCCAGTCTTGAATTGGCAGAAGTATTATAAAATAGATGGATGGAATTTCCTCCGTGATTAAAGT